TGAATTAAGAAAGCTTAGTGGATATGGTTGGAAGCGCTCCCAGTGCATTTCTCAAATAAGTCGCAACCTTTTGGTGGCATAACATCAATCTGCGGTTCGTTGGCGGGTGCCAGAAACTTGCAGAGCAGAGGGAAGGATTAGTAAAGCAAACATGAGTAATCCCTCTTACAACTGTGCAAGCAAGATATCTAAACACACAAACAAAACGCAGACGATGCCTCGACGGAGAACTGCATGCACAGGCAGACAGGCATGCGTCATTCCTGATCTTAAAGATTGTAACGCTGTGTCAAAGTCTGGCTTTTTACATTTTCTAAAATCCCTTTCCTGTGAAAAGCAAAGAGTCAGGAGAGCAGAGGCATTGTATGTTTGTGTTCTTCTCAACGTTGAGAAGAACAGACTGTAGGGGTGTAACGGTATCCGTATTCGTCCCGAACCGTGACGGTTCGGCACATGCAGTCACATGACGAATACGCCTTTTTTTATGAGTGGGAGAAAAGTCTGTCACTGACTCAGGGCAGTATCCACTACACTATATATAATCCAGGGGGCGGTACCCCTGCACCCCCTCTAATCTCAGATGCACCCTGAGTCATTTTGTTTAAGTACAGTGAGCCTTTCTAAAATATACAGTAAAGAAACAAACCCACCAGCATTATAGGATATACTATGACTTTGAGCCAAATACTTGTTTTTGGGCTGTATAAATAAATTGACTTGAAACAGTTGCTGATTTAGAGTACTGGCACCTTTTTTATTCCAATTCAAGCACTGGGTGTGTCGCCGTTGTTCGACAGTGGTGCAGTATGCTAATGGTAACCCACGCCAAACATGCTAAATCATATCAGAAGGCATCACACTGATTTGCCAAAAGACAACAGCAGTTCAACAGCTTATCCCCGCTGTTTTTAAGAAGCCAATAGACATGAAAGCCGAGAGACCAAAATAAATAACGGAAGCTATTGGCATATATATTTCAATTGCTATGTGCCCTTGAAACACTTGTTCACTTGTAATATTTTCAAGACATTCTTTTTAGTTTTACAGCTTGATGAAACCTTTTTGTTTGACATCAGCCATTATAGATAATATGGCCATCTGAGTGTGTGTGTGGTACTGTTTGTGGTTTGTTTTTAACTTTGTAATACAGTTAATTATTCTAAATGTTAGAGATCCTTATTTTTATACTGAAACTTGCATCACTGTTCAAAAATAAATAACAACAAACCTGGAATTATGCATTTGGGACTTTTTTTTGCTTTTTCTTGTTGTACCGAACCCGTACCGTACCGTGACCCCCAAACCGAGGTACGTACCCAACCGTGAATTATGTGAACCGTTACACCCCTAACAGACTGTGGGAATAGGGTTGCAAAGGGGCGGAACATTTCCGGAAAGTTTCCATTAAACATGCAAATCTTCCTTCAAGCAATCCTCTGCATTATTGCTAAACCCTTTCAGTCAATGGGCTCTTCCTGGGCCTCATCAACATCCAACTCTGAGTCTTCCTCTTCAGTGTCACTGTCCAGCCTTGTTGAGGATGGCTCTGTGTCCGGCTCAAAGAGCCTTAGGTTTGCCCAAATGCCAACCAGTTTTTCCACTCTCACATGTGTGAGCCTGTTGCAAACCTTTGTGTGGTCTCAATAGCCATGCAGTAAGCAGTGTGCTATGGCATGGATATTCAAGTGTACTTGAATGGCATCTGTTTGTTTTAGTCAAGATTATGCTAAAATATACTTTCCCCAACTATATTTAAGTTCCCTATGAAGAGCCAACCTTCAATTTTGAAAATTCCCAGTTTATTCCCATAAATTCCTGTTAATTCCCATGGAAAGTTTCCATCTTTGAAAATTCCCGGAATTTTGAGACCCTATGTGGGAATAAAAAAAATATTGGACACAAACAGACCGCTCCGAGGCCAAAACAGAACATATGTGTCCCCTTTTGGTAGCTTGGCCTAATATACATAATGCCATACTAGCACAACAACCCCCACCAATAATTCCCAACGTCGCCCCCTAAGCAATCTCTCCTTTGATCCCCTAAAGCTGGTTAAGAGGGTGTTGGGGAAAAATGTTGGTCAAAGATGGTTGACCTCTGCAGACATTCAAAAGCGTGTGAACCAAAGCACACTATGGGCCAAAGTGAGATAAAAGGATAATATTTAGTATTTTTATATATAAACATTTTATATATAAAAATACAGCAGATGCTAAACAATGTGCTGTAAGCTCACTAATCCCTTCGTGCTCCAAAGCATATCAAAACTAGATTGGTATTAAGAATAAAAGGATTGCTTTGATATTACAATGTGTAGATGTAGTGCCTTGAATCATCTTGTATTACAATTTTCTCAGAGTTCTGATGGATATGGCTGCATGCAGTTATGGTTGTGTGTTTTAACTCACTAGAAAACCGCTGTATTCACTACAATGCTGCATCTGTAGGAAGAGTGATCTGATTCAGTCCACATAGACACCAGGACAGCTGCAGTGTTCACTAGCTTAACTATGCTAAACTAGCACACACACGGACACTGAATGCCTCACAGAGTCTATATTCATGATATTTAAACTTTTGCACAGATCCACTCATCCCCCCCATCTAGGGCTGTATAATTTGGAGAAGAAAATACCCTATTGCGATTATTTTGATTATTATTGCAAGATATGACTTACGATACTGGATACTTCCATTCTTGTTACCATTAAATAATTGTGGTAAAATGATCATGTTGAGATTTTGTAAGAGGATTTTTCAAGTTTTTAGAATACGACTTTTTTTTTCCAGGGTCCTGGGGGGATGGAATTGATTTAGGCAAAGACTGTGAAAGAGCAGGGCTGTATGGTGTTTGAAATATTTGTAAACTATTACTGGTCAAGAAACATGTACAATATTTGTAAGCATTGAGCTAATGTCGGACTGGCCTAGTGTTCTTTTTAAATCGAGACAGAAAACCTTTGCTACCTCTTTTCCCTCTTTATCTTTGCCACATTTCCCTTCTGCCTCATATGAGTACGCTACCAAAACAGACTTTAAAAAGGCAAGAACATTGATTGTAAAGTGAAATTGCTGACCTGTTCCAGGCCAAAAGAACAACGAGGTCCGTCCGTACATCACAGGGTTCGTGAGAGGACGTGGGGGTTTGCGAAAGAGGTGGGAGGCAATAAAATGTCATGGTTCGCTTGTCATCCAGCCCATTCAGCAGCACCTCATCGATGACCTCATGGTTCTGCATTCAATAACTCAGCACACACAGGGGCCGGTCTTGTGTGTGGGTGTGAAGTGCGGTGTTGTGAGTATGTGGTGGTGGAGTGTAAAAGAGCTGGAGCGTTTAGAAAGATCTATACCAAATTATATTTACACATTAGGTATTTTCTATCTTTTTACGGTAATAAAAGCACACGTGTTACTAATAACTGTTCTATATGCACAATCCAAGGATACTGAAGCAGATACATGGAATGGAATACAGCCACTATAACACCACTTTTAATACGTGAAGTGACCTTAAAAAACACTCAAATATCATGAAATCCCTGAGGTCGTAAGAAAACAGCTGCTTGGGAATGTAACCAAAATGTTCTTTCTGTTTTTCGGGTAATGACACAAACATTCACACAAATGTTCATATCCAAAATCACAGCTGCAGTATTGTTGCTTAGGCTACTGCCACAAAAATATACATGTATGCACATTTTCTACAACTTAAGATACATATTTGTGCGCCGAGACCCTAATATACTTCTTACCTGGCCTTATCGCAAACAGTTCTCTCGGAAAACACCAGAACAGCCTTTCGTCATTTCACGCCCTTTAATTTTCCTCTGACAGGATCTATATTACCTGCTGAAACTGCCCATTGTTTATCCACCATTGATGTTTGTCTAAAGCAGGGGTGGGGAACCTTTTTCCTCTCAAGGGCCATTTCAATTTTTTCAACATCCTCCGAGGGCCGTAAAAATTATTGACCTCTGCTTAAAATACTAAAACACAGCCCATTCTTTTCGCCTTTCTTTCATGCTGTGCAAAGAAAAAGCAACCTCTTAATCCAGATATCTCACCATGACTCGCGCATGCGTGCACGTGCACGGTTGTGGCATGACCACCAAAACAGAAAGATATGGACACAAGATGTGTGCAAATGTATTTCGTTTCCTATCCATGTGGACATCATTTAAGTGGGGGGGGGGGACCTAACCTCCTCTAGTGGGGTCTGGGGGCATTTTTTTAAATGTTGAAGTTAAAAGCATCAATCTGGTGCACTTTGAGAGCAACATTAAGAGATCTATGGATACATCAACACCCATATGAAACAGAACTGTAAGCAGATTTTCTTTTTCTTTATGGATATTTTACAAATCACTCCCCTTTCAAACTGTATTCTTGTTTATTAATAACAACTCTTTTTTACTGTCATATAGTATTTTATACCCGTTTACTTTATTCTCTTATTTTTTTATAACTATAATGATCATAAAGATGTGCCTTTACCTGACTGGTTGTAGTAAAAGCTTCTTATATTCGTTAGCATAGCTAGCTAACCGGATGCTAATAACAACAAAGTTATTGACTGTATGATCAGTATGACAGATGAACAGATGCCACTGGGCTTTCAACTAAAGACACAGCCACGCAGAAACTGCGGCATGTGTACGGCTCCTTATGGGTACTGCAATTTCTGAAGTGGCGGAGCGACGTTCTGGTGCTCTCCGTCAGAACTACACCCCAGTCAGACGAGACATATACCACGTGATGACACGTTAGGCTCGTGTTGTGTTCAAGGACCCTGACCTTGGCCAGTAAAAACAGGCACTTGATTGTTTAATTTTTTTGCGGTCTAGATTTCTTAATTGTTTTTCTTTTTTGCGTGTGTTTATAAATTACCTCGAGGGCCGTACCAAATGGTATACGGCCCGGGGGCCTGAGGTTCCCCACCCCTGGTCTAAAGCTATGCTGCAGGGTCACTACGATAATAAACATAGACTGTGAAGGTCTACCTCTTCGTCATCGCTGGGCAGGCGTTGGAAGTCAGGCTCTGAAGTGTCATTCAGCCTCTGGTATTCTGCCGTCTCCCCCATGGCGGGGCTCCAACACCCGGCCGGTATCTCCCCCCGGGGGTACGTGTCCTCAAAGTCCACGAAAAGCCACAGCTCCGCTCAGCGAGCCACCCACACACTCAGTCGGTCAGTCGGTCAGTCAGCCTGCTTCGAGGTGTGTGCTGTCGTTGGGAAGACAAGTACAGTGTTCTCCATGTCATTTACAAAACAGCACTCCCAATATTTCACAGAGCACAATATTTCGAATAAGCAGCCACTGATACCTCCGATACTCCCACCATCATTGTCTTTTAGGAGTCAGCTTTCCTTGAGAATGGGTGGACAATGAGTTCATCCTATCCACACCGTGATAACTGAGCAGTCTGTTGCCTTTCTGTCTCGAAACAGCTTCTTCAGACAGTAACTCAGAATAAATACAGTCCCTATTTTTGCCTTGCTTCGACAGGATTCTTCCTCTTCTGTAATAAAAATAGGAGAAAAAATCGACTACTAAAAGATTGCACCAATTGTCCTTTTCACACGTGGGTGTCTTAAATCTTCTGGGAGCATGCAGGTGTTCAAGTGGTTGTTCCAAATTGATTTCCTGGCCGTTGTTGTCCTCCTGGACGAGGGAATCCCATGTGTCAGAGCCGCTGGATGGAGCGTTGGGATGATGCAGCCAAGGTGTGGCACAGGAGGTGAGAAGTCTGGCAGGCTCTATTCTTGTCGTGCCATCTAACGCCACTGTCATAACCTCTACCCTCAATCTGTCTCTCGCTCCGACTGCTCCTGTTCGCCCTGCCTTAGTGCTGACGCATGCTCTTTACATCCAGCAATATCGCACTCCCTCTCTCTTTGTGTTTCTATTTCTGAGCCACAGGCATCACACCGGCCGGTTTACCTCCTCTCTCTCTCATTGCTGGCAGTGAAATATCACAGCAACAGCTCGTACAGGAACTGTTTAGAAATGTTCACCTGTCATGTTTCATCCTTCCTTTGTGCGCTTCTATTATTTTTCTTTAGCAGCTGTCCAATCGTGGAGGATTCTTAACGCTGCTTTGTCCTAAATGGACTTCCTGATTGCTCGGTCGATGCCTAATCCCTGGCTGTTGTTGTTATTGTCCCCCCCTCCTCCTCACCCTCTAACCCGCTTTCCGCACGGCTCCACTTTTTTTTCCATTTCAGCCTGATGATTTGGTGAGTGGTCGCCTCCACTATTACCGTGGCAACATCAACCCATCCCACCTCCCTCCCCGCTCTCCTGTGTCCTGTAGTCACGGCGATCCAGTCAGCCGTGGTCCTGGTGGAAGCGGCCAATGAGAGCGAGGCAGGCCGAACGGGGGAAGGGAGGGGGAGGGGAGAGGATGGAGAGAGGCGGGGGGAGCCCTAATGAGGAGGGTTAATCCTCCCTCTGAGAAAAACACGGCCATGCTGCTTTTGTGTGTGTTTATGTTTATGTGTGTGTGTGTGTGTGTGTGTGTGTGTGTGTGTGTGTGTGTGTGTGTGTGTGTGTGTGTGTGTGTGTGAGAAAAACACCTCTCCACTAGAGGCAGGGTATCATGGCCATCTGGATCCTTGCTGAGTGGACATCTGGATGGAGGGGAAAATAGAATAAAAGAACAGTGTGTGTGTGTGTGTGTGTGTGTGTGTGTGTGTGTGTGTGTGTGTGTGTGTGTGTGTGTGTGTGTGTGTGTGTGTGTGTGTGTCTACCTCCCAGTCTTTCACAAGTTGGATTGTGTAAATCAACATGAAAGATTGACTGATATTGCAACTGTGATATGATTAGCAAAATAATTATTTTTATAGAATGGTTTACGTCATCATTAAAAAAATCGAAATGGGCATTGTGTTAAAAGATTTTTAAGAGGATCTGTACGAAGGTTTTTTATTATTTATGTAGAATACTGCTTGTAGGCCAGTACTTTACTGAAACACTACAATACATAATTCAGAATTATATGTTTCCTTTACCAAATATTGCCATTTCTATAATCCAATACTACCTTTTGCATTTCCGTTCCATGTTGCGAACCGTAGTCCTAACACAAATGCTAAATCTTCATACATCTAAATGACATCGTCTTTTCCATTCCTCAATCCATGTCGCTTTCATTAATCTCTCTTCCCATACAAAGCACTCGCTATCTTTCCCTTTCCCTCCCTTCTCGTTTGTGCCTGTTCTCTCGTGCCCCCACCACCCTTTCTTCTCTTCCCCTATCTCTCGCACTCTCTCTTTGACTCCATTCCAGTCCTGTTGATGTCCTCGGGCCGGTTATTCTCAGCCCGCTGAGCAACATTTGCTTTTTGCTCTCATTCCTTCGCCTCTCTTCCTCTAGAGACCGACTGACACACGTGAGAGTGGCACGCAACATCCCACGGTAAATACAAAAACATGCACGCAGAAAATGGGAACACAGAAACACTGTGCCTGTATTTACGACCGGACATAACGCTCAATGTATCCAAACATTTTGAGGGGATTGCCAGCAATTACAATTCCATCTGTCTTAAATGAGCCTCAGCTGACCTCTCCTTTTTACTCTCTGCCTTTATGGATATAGCTTTGATTTCTGGTCTCTGGGCTACACTGTATCACAACTGAATCCCAAATAAATCATCATCTCAAATCTCTGTTTGCAAAACTCAAAGATTATTAACTTACTGTGCAAGCTGCACCCAACAATATCGACTGCTCCAACCTCTCGGACGGGTTTTGTCAATTCATCCTTTACAGTTCATCCAAAGTTGGGGTCAAGAAAGATGTGGAAGACACTTCATCAGGACGTGATACTTTACTTGATACTAGGAAAAGTCTATTGCAGTGCAAGAGAATCCGACTGCACTTACACTAGGTGAGATATTCATGACGTGCCAGCGGCTTTTATTAAATGTGCGTTTGACCTGGGGAAACTACAATTTTCCGTACAGCTGACCACAATAACCGCCTCTAGATATTTTGCCCCATCAATTTTTTCTGGTGTTGCTCTATGCAGGCTTTATAATCGTGAAAAATATATAACTTCATTACCAAGGTTGGAATTGAAATAAATAAATGAAATTTTAACTTAATGGTTGCTCGCACTCACCCTCAATCTGCTGTCACAACGTATTAATCCAATCAGTAAGATTGTACGAAAATCAACCATGCAAACATGTTGAAAAATGTTTTAGATTTACTCCACACAACTCAGTAAACACCTTGAAATGTCAACTTTATTTGATCATTTTGTAGTAATAAGTGTTACGTTCAAATGTTGGCTATTTGTTTAATATAGTGTTGAAATGTAAAACATAGTACCCCAAAGTGACGGCATAAGTTACGGTTTTTGGTCAGTTGGTTGTTTCCCTGAACAGCCAAATGTGATAATTGATCCTGTGTATCTTAAACTCAAGTAGATAATAAAGGAAACTGAGGCTCCTCTCCTTATCATCTAGAGTAGCAGTTTTCAAAGTGTGAGGCGTGCCTCCCCTGAGGGGAGCCAGAGAACTTCAGGGGAGGCGCAGCGTGAGAAAAGAATAACGAGAAACAGTGAAATCTAGCTAGTTAACTTCAGCTAACTTTATGCGAGCGGCAACATAGATCGATTTTTAGTGAAGTTACCTAAAGTGAAAGAGGAGACAGCGTCTGGCAGAAAACGTCACTTGCACACTTTTGGCTGTCTTTGGAGACCGAGTTCCCCCACCTCGCCAAAAAGGCTGTAAAAGTGCTCATTCCCTTCACCTCCACCTACCTGTGTGAGTGCGGGTTTTCCGCATTGACTTTGATCAAAAGCAAGTACCGGTCAAGCAGGGGCGGATCTACCGGGGTGGCATGGGGTGGAAACTGCCACCATAAAAATAGCCTTGCCACCCCAGCTGCCACCCCAGTTGGCAGCTTTGTTTTGAAATAAAAGTTGTGGCTCATCGGACATTTATGAGAGAAAATCCCTAATGTCCGAGTGCAAGTGAATGCAGCACAAGACGCGAGCCTTGTAACCCCTCCCCCGGCCCTGGCGCGAGCGAGGAAATGTGATTGGTGGCGATTTCATCTGAACGGGACGGCTTATTCTGACCAAAGTACCGTAATTTTCGCACTATAAAGCGCACCTGAATATAAGCCGCAGCAGCTAAATTGAATGATGTGTACATATATAAGCCGCACTGGACTATAAGCCGCAGGTGTTTTAATGTTTAATTACCATATCTAAGGGTTCGTGCACAGAGGGGATTGTCGGGAAAGAGATGGCTGTTTGAGGAAGCTCCCATTTATTAACATTTCAACAAACAAGTTGCATATTTGCATAACGTATTCAAGTGTTACCATTTAGTGCAATAGTAGCTACAGAACATGTACTGTGCTGTGTAAACTGTACTGTATCACATAGCGTTTCAGACACACAAACTTTTCAACTTTCAAACTTAGGAGAGGTTACGTCTTCTTTGTGTTATAAGATAGGACTGGCAGGGTCAGTCAAACCTGGTCGTTATCCCGCGGAGCTCCTGTCCCGGTCCCTTGCGCTCTCTCGGCCCGGTGTCTACAGGGCTAGCCCGAGGATCCCCCGCTAGCATCCCCCGCTAGCAACAGGCCTTCAAAACAATGTTAGAGGCGCTCCTGAAACAGCGTCAAAACGGGTATATTTCCCGGGCTTTAATATACGCTTTGTTTCACTCGTTTGTTGTTTTGTTCCTCCGTGTTTTCAGAGCAAGTCGTCGGAGCTGTAAAAATCCATAGATTAGCCGCACCGTTATATAAGCCGCAGGGTCGAAAAATGGGAAAAAAGTCGCGGCTTATAGTCCGAAAATTACGGTAGTATTGGTAGTGGTATTTGCGGTCTACAATGACAGAGAAGAGACTGTCAAGTTTGGCTGTACTCAGCATTGAATCAAAATGCACTAAAGCTTTAGATCTTAATAAGTTTGTGAGGCGTTTTGCTGGACAAGATGGTAATCGCCGCATTCAGCTGTTATAGGCATGCCAACTTGATGCTCTGCTCACGGATGACTCAATGAGCATAAACAACTGTTAAGATGATGACCTTACGTGTGTAAATATTTTTTTTTCTTTGTGGGGGTCTGCCCCCAAAAAACGATTTTAAGTCCTGAGAAAGTCAAATAAGACGGTGTGTAAAACTACACTGCCCAGCCAAAAAAAAGTAACCACTTTGATTTAACTAGGAGAATTCAAACAGCTCTTATAATGGCTGGAACTTAGGTACTTCCAGTTCATTTCCTTCTGTTAGGAACCTTCCAGAGCAAGATTGACAATTGGACTGCAACCAAAGTCTCCAGGTCCACTTTATCGGTAACAGTCAGACAGTATCAACAAACAATGACTCATCACACACGCGGTGGACACAATTAAAGCAACACCTGTAAACTATCACTGAATATGACCTCAATACTATACATGGTTACACACAAACCACAAGAGTACATAATCCGGATTCAGTGTAAAATAAAAGTGTAAAATCTGAATGAAGAAGGAAGCTACACACAGTCAGATAGCAGAGAAATAGAAGAGAAGCAGGGGAGAAACCAAAGCCAGAGAGGGGACATCCTGGCCAATTGAGGCCATGATAAATGGAGCAGGGCTGAGCTGTGGTGTCATGTGGGGTTACTCTTTCCCCTCGCTCCCCCCGATAAAGTTAACACACTCCATTACTGACTGTATGGCAGCTTGGTAAGACTAGAGGGCAAGGCTGAATTGTTAACAACAATCATGTTATCTGTCGCTGCATTTTTCCATGCAATATGATTTACGCAAAGACAGTGATTCAAAGGCAAAAAAAAAGACAATAGCATGGTAGAAAGGTCAGTGGTAAATAGAGGGTTAAATTCATGGTTTATTATTGAAGCACGAAAATGTGTTAGCATTTTACAACTTCCGGTTCCCTTGTCTTGAAGTTAACTTTATTTTAAATGTTTTTGGTAAGATGCCTGAAATAAGGTATGCGGTTTACACAAGCTGAAAAGACTTTCACGTTTTGTTTCAACAACATAAAACACGTCAGTAAACACCCAACTGGTGAATTTCCAAAGCTTCTATTTCTCATAAAACAAGCTAACAAGTTGTTAAAATACCACTAAAACTCTGCCTTAAGCAAAGCGGAGGTAAGATGTGACTGTCAGGAAGTTTGTTTATAACATAACGATAGCTTTTTACTTCTGGTGATTGTATTTACGCTTCATAAATCACAAAGTGGTGTTAATATGTACAGATTATCCTGCTGAACTAAATGTGTAAGTATCATAAATATGTGTTGGCCACAAAGCTTATGTTCTGCATATACTGAAATCCAATGGGGAAATCCCAGTGCTTTTTGTAAAGGGAGACCTTACGATGCTAACTTCCGGGTCGGCCTGCAAAAATATGTCATCACTTACTCTATGAAGTATGGCCTTTGCCCAGTTTCTATTTGTTTTAACCAGTGTCAGCAATGAGTTAAGATTAGACCAACCATTGTCTACGCC